TGTGGGATTCAACCGATGCCGCTTGTAAAAGAGAATGAGAGAGTCAGGAGAGAGGGATTTATGTAAAGAGAGTTGTATGTGAAGAGAAAGGAAGGAAGTTGAGAGAGAGAAAGAGGAATTAGTGCGGCTGAAGAGGAAAAAACAGATTCATGCATGCAGTTGTGAAAACAAGAGGATCATGTTGCGGCAACACAGCAGTCTAGATCTATTCCCAATCTGTACGAGGAGAGAAAACATATCTCAAGTGAGAAGAGAGACAGAAAGGTAATGTGCATGGTAGTGAACACCGAAGGAGATGACTAGAGTGTGGCAATTTGCCACACACAAATCCATGCATTTTTCAACACAGTCTAACCATATCCATACCAAATTTGAGTGCACGAGCGATTATGTGGAGACTTCTAGTTAGTTTGTTGTGGCAATCAGCAGTTTCGGTGGTGACACATGGTGGTTCAGTAGGTGGCGCGTGTCTAAGCGTGTGGTGGTCCAATAGGTGGCATGTGGTGGTCCAACTGGTGGCGCATAGAGGTGCGTGTTGGGCGCGTGGTGATCTTGGTGACATGCAGTGACACCAGCAACCAGAATTGCATACCCAAGGTAAAAATTGATCCGCCTTTGTGTTATATTTAATTTCAAAACTGTTCGTTGTTTAATGCACATATTTTCTATTTGTAAATAGGGGAATTATTCCAACAGTAACCAAAGTAGAAAGGATTGTAACCTAAACTAATGAGAATTCTGACACTCTTCTTATCAAACTATAGGTAAGAGATTGGGTTAGTCTCATTTCAAAGACTCTCATGTTTATAAAATTTTATTTTATTTAAAATGAATTATGTACAAACTTTACAAATTGTTTAAGATCTATAATATGTTTCCCATAAACTCATCATATAAATGAATGTTAGCTTATGTGCGTGTACAATGGATGGACATTGTTAAATTATATGTATGCCTAGTATATTTATATAAGTATTGTACAGATTATTTAATATTTACAGTATAAAATGAGAACATGCATGCACTTAAACTATGTATGTGTAAATCTATGCGAAAATAGATATGGTATGTAATTTGTACACATGATTACGTACGTAATATTATATTGAAGCTAATTATAAGTATTTATGTTGTTTGATTAATATGTTGAACCTGTGTTTGATGTATATATATGTATGTTGTTGTATGTGCATGTATATGCGTTATGAGTTGTATGTATACATGTATGAACTATATAAAAAGTTTGTATGCAAATAGAGTATTTAAATAAATGTATATAGCAATATATAGTATGTGAGTTGGCAGATAAATGTGATAATTATGTTTTGATAATTATATATGGTGAACTATATTGTGGAAATGACATATTTATGGCGCTCACCTAAGTTAAGGGGTAAGGACAATCGATATTTTATGGCACCCATATAAGATGATGTATGGGCACGATTGATATTTATTATGCTCACCTAAGTTGAGGGATAAGGACGACCAATATTTTATGGTGCCCATATAAGATGAGGCATGTGGACAATCGATATTTATGAGCTCGTATACAAATAGAGTATTTAAATAAATATATAAGGCAATATGTATATATGTGAGTTAGGAGGTAAATGTGAGATTATGTTTTGATGATTATGCATGGTGAACACTATTGTGGATACAACAAATATTTATAGCACTTATCTAGGTTGAGGGATGAGGATGACTGATATTTATGACGCCCATATAAGTTAAGGTATGAGGACAACTGATATTTATGGCGTTCACCTAGTTCGAGGGGTGAGGATGACTGATGTTTATAGCGCCCATATAGGTTAAAGTATGAGGATGATTGATATTTATAGCGTTCACCTAGGTTGTGAGTTGAGGACGATCGATATTTCGTTAGAAAAATATTTGAAGTATCCATATGTAGAAGAGATCCTTATATGATACTGAAAAATGGGCATCGTGCAACGAAATTGTTAAGTAAAACGAAAGAAATTGATGAATGAATGTGATCTTCAAAAAAGATAGAATAATCTATGATAATTTGAATGTGACTGTAATGTGAGATGAATATGTGATATATTTATGTGATAATCAGTGAGTGTTACTTCAATTAAGTTCATGGTTATGTGAATATAATGTTAGAATATTTGTAATGGTAGAAAAATCACATTCGAATGAGAGAATTATTAAAACGTGTGGAATCATTGCTATTGTGTTGCCTTCTATGCTTGAGAATTGGTTTTAAATAAAAATTTGCATCTACTTTATAAATCTTATGCAATTAAGTGTATACACATCTTTGTTATGGACATTGTTCATTTTCTTTATTAAACATGTGAAACTCATCCTAATTCACACTCCTCATTTACATATTAGTTTAGATCAAGAGCATGTTCAAGGTCGAAAAAAAATATGAATGAATTTTAGTGACTTTGGAAGTATGTTTATAAAATAGATTTAATTATATTACTGCAATGTAAAATAAAGAATTTTGTGAGCTCATAATTTGTAACTCTGTACAGGAGATATATAATTGAATTTTAAATTTTAGCATGATGTTACACAACTTATCAGGTTTTATATGTGTAGCAATGCTCATTTCTCAAAAGAGAATGTGGGTCATTACAATATACATCATACTATAATTGTTACAAAGAATCTTAAATAATTCATCACAGTACAAGTAAATACAATGGGTAACATACAACGATTACACTAACCATAACTTAATATGTTGTAGATAGAGATAACAATGGGTTGGGTTTGAGGTGGATCTCATGAAACTTGAACTCTATCCAAATTATAATACATGAACTCGAACCCAAAATGAGTTCAAAAATATAATTTTTATTCATATTTATGCAGTTTGCATGTTAAACCTATCCCTCTCACCAAGCCATAAGTTTATATATATACATATAAACTAAAATTGAAAGCTTTTAAATTTTAATTTTTGTATATAAAAAAATATTTTGGGTTTTATATTTGTATATATAACTATATTTATTTTTAATTAAAAATTTAAATATATAATACTTTATATATATGGTATCAGATCATATTCGCACAGAATTTTTACAATTAAATTCGAATTCGATTTATTTTAATTATGTGAAATAAAAAATCTATATTGTCATTCTCTGGTTCGAATGTGATCCAGTTTAGAACTTAAAAGGATTCAGTAGATCAAATTGAGTTTAACGAGATACAAACTTTTTTTTGTTGTCATCTCTAGTTGTAAAAGGTTTGTAAAATGAATGAGGTGTGAGAAAAGAAATATATTAAAAATAGAATTTACATAGCAAAATAATTTAAGAGTTTGTAGTTAATTATAAATTAATAATAAGAGATTGTAATATATATATATATATATGTACATATGTATTCCACATCGACTAATGCTTAGTAGCTAATCCAGCTTGAATCTATTTATTTTCCTTGAACATGCCAAAAATTGAGGATGTGTCCTTGAATCTACTATATGGATACCAATTGGTAATCATTTCGTTTCCTCTCCGAATGAAACTTTTGCAAAATTAGCCAATTAGTAGAAGTAACATTTTAAAGTGCTTATGAACCTTCCATACCAAAAGTTTTTATTTTTGGATAAAATTTTTTAGTTGATTACTAATTAAAATAATTGAATTATTATTTTAAATAATGAAATAAAATTATTTCAAATAGTGAGAGCAACACAAATTACTAGTAATCCTTTCATTATCGTCAAAATAATTAATAATCAAAATTTTAATAAATTTTAATTTTTTTCTTCTTTTTCTTATTGAACTTTATACTTAAATGATCCCGACATATTATGAAACTAACATGCATTAATTCCCAATACTTTATGTATATACATGCATATTAGATCTTTTGTCATGTGTTACACAAGGATTATAATTTGAAAAACTAATTATATAGTGCATAGTTTATAATTAATTAAAAATTATATTTTAGTTATATTTAAAATTAATTTTTATTTAAAAATTATATAAATCATAATTTATAATCAATTAAAAATTATATTATATTTTTATATTAAAAATTCAAGTAGATAATTATTACATATTTGTTATATTTTCATATTTTAATATCTAAATGATTAATATATATAATTTTATTTTTATATAATATATAAAAGTATATTAATATTTCTAATTAAAATTAATTACTTACTTGAATTTTTAAAAACTAATAATAAAATTTAATTTTTAGTTAAATATAAATTATAAATTATAAATTATATAATTCTTTAAATGTAAATTTTTTAATTATATATATTTATTATTCATTTAATATTTATAAAAATAAAAATAAACATTAATTTTAATTAACTATGATTTGTATATCATATAATTACTATATAGAATTATGATCCTATGTAATGCAAGATAAAAATTTTATTATAACTACTATTAACACATTATTTTTATTTATTATTTAAAAAATATCACACGTGACATTAAATTAATGGGGCTTGCTAAAAATAAAATATAGTAGCTATTTTTTCTACTTTTAAGAATTATTAATGTTTTATTTTTTTACAAGTTTGTGATGATATTGTTAACATTAAGAAAATATATTAAAAGTTACTAAAAATTAAATCAATTTTTAACAAAACTACTGAAAAATAATTACATTATAATATTTATAAAAGAAAATATTCATTATCAAATTTTTTAAAACATATATAATATAACAAATTTCATAAATAAAATATGATTTACTATTTGCTTAAGTTTTGCTTCACTTAAATGTTTTATGCAGCGCCACACCCAACCAAAAAAAACCACGTTCCCGTAGGAAGAGATAAGTATGTCTACGTTACCAACAACGGCAAGTAACACATCAGATAATACATATCTCCCCACGTCACCAGCAACTACTTTGACTTTTTTAATTCCAAAATTATCCGTAGTTTGACCTTCTAAAATTACTAAAGTCTCCCCAGCAGAACGCTTATTTATATGTTATATGTACACTGTATCATCTTTCCCATTGGTCGAGTACATTCACAGTTTCACTCTCAGAGCTCAATCATGTCGTTAATGGCATCAATCTTCCGTCGAAAGCGACACAGCGAGCACTTACTACTCCAAATAAGACTCTTCTGCGGCTCTACTTCTCCCCGTTTACCTGCACAGAAACAAAAATGGCACCGGATAGAGAAAATTTTGATAGCGAACAGAGGCGAAATTGCCTGCAGAGTCATGAGGACGGCGAAGAGGTTGGGGATTCGAACCGTCGCCGTTTACAGCGACGCCGATAAAGATTCACTCCACGTGAAATCCGCGGACGAGGCCGTCCACATCGGTCCTTCACCGGCTAGGCTTAGTTACCTTTGTGGTTCTTCCATCGTTGAGGCCGCCATTCGTACCGGTGCGCAGGTGGGCACTGGATGAACTCCGTCTGTTTGGTGTATGGATGAACTCTGTCTGTTTGGTTGATGGATGACTCTGTCTGTTTGGAATCTGTGGCTATCTTTTATGTTTATGAATGGTGAAGTCCCACTTAAGAGTTTGTTTAGCATCTTTAATGAGTATTGCATTAGTCAATAGCGGTGCTAATTGCGAAGTTTCAATTGGACTTATATGATTATTCTTCTTGTTTTCCATTAGTTAACCTTACTGACTGGTGAGTATCCCTGTTCATGTATTGTTCAGTAACTTTGTGGTTGTGTTGGTTTTGTCGTCTTTGGTTGTTGCTTGAGGTTCTACACATTGTTATCGCTTGTATTTTGTTGGATTCAGCTTCGCTGCATTGCGAGATGGTTAATTATTTATCGTTCTTTTTAAATGCAAGGACATGGTTTTCAGAGTGGATGTCTTCTTTTGATAATTAGGCTATCCACCCTGGTTATGGTTTCTTATCGGAGAGTGCTGAATTTGCCCAACTTTGCGGAGATAAAGGTCTTACATTTATTGGACCCCCGGCAGCTGCAATACGAGACATGGGTGATAAAAGGTATTAACTACGGTATATGTGTGTTGGTTGGGTCTCTCCCTCCCCTGATACTACTGATCTTCTAATTGATGTTCTTCTGTAAATTAAATAGTGCATCAAAAAGAATAATGGGTGCTGCTGGAGTTCCTCTCGTGCCAGGATATCATGGCTGCGAACAAGATATTGAACTTATGAAGTTAGAAGCAGATAAGATTGGATATCCTATCTTGATAAAGCCAACTCATGGTGGCGGAGGAAAGGTGTGTAATAATGTCAGACCTTGATATACTCGATCATTTTGTGTTTATCAAAGGAAATTGGTGCAATAAGTATCATATAACATTTCAAGATGTGGTTGCAAGATTTTTCAGTATTGTCCTGCTACTTGATAGAATTACAAGTGAACTGTATTAGTTCTCCAAAATAAAAGAAGTTTACTGTAGACAAAAAATTGCAGTAGGTTAGCATTATTCATAGATGTATATTCATATCTCTTGGAGCAGCATCCTAACCATGAGCAAATTTTCAGGGAATGAGAATTGTGCAAAGTCAAGATGAATTTGTTGACTCTTTCTTGGGAGCACAACGTGAGGCTGCTGCCTCTTTTGGAATCAACACAATTTTGTTAGAGAAGTACATCACTCAACCTCAACATATAGAAGTCCAGGTAGCATAGTGGTTTTTGTGTCCTTCCTTCTACCATCAAGGAGTCAGTTCATTCCTAAAGACGTCTCATCGAAAGAGAACTGTACTTAGTATATAAAATTGGTTCTTTATATTTGTCGAATTTGCTTCATGCTCTTTGTCCATACTATTCTATGTAAACTTATCTTCCATTTATTTGCAGATCAATTCAGTAAATTGATGTAGGTGTGATGATGAAGTTGATTTTTTATCAGGTTCACTTGGTAATTTATATCATCCTCTTTTTTTTTTGTTTTATAGATATTTGGAGACCAACATGGCAATGTTCTGCATTTATATGAGAGGGATTGCAGTGTGCAGAGAAGACACCAAAAGATAATAGAAGAAGCTCCAGCTGTAAGGATCACTTTCTATGTTTTGACTTCGCGCTTTGCAATTGGATTCAGAAATTTTGATTGGGTTTCTATTCATGCAGCCAAATATAACCAATGATTTTCGCTTCCAAATAGGTCAGGCTGCTGTATCCGCAGCCAAGGTAATGTATTTCGAATTTAATTTTTGTAGTGGCAGTTTATAAATGCATTAGCGGCAATGACTGCCCTATATTTTATTTTACTGTGGATCTCTTTAGGATAGTCCAGCATCATGTGCTTTTCTCTATGATGACAGTTTTTTACATCTACAGTTGCAGGCTCCCAGCATGGTTTCTGGGTCTTGCAGTGGATATTTCTTCTTGATTGTCTTTATTGTTTCATGTTGTGATGTCGTACCTGAATTAAGTGATATTCATTTTCCTTAAAAATCTGTCTGGGGATCATTCAATTTGTACATGTACATATATAACTGTATCTGGTGTTTTTCGTTAAACGCCTGTTTGTTAATGTTGCTCTTAATGTTCCAGAAACTTTGTTCTGCTATTCTATTTTCATCTTATACTCCTGTCTCATATCAATATGCTATCTGAAGGCAGTTGGTTATTATAATGCCGGTACCGTGGAGTTTATAGTTGACACTACAACGGGCCAGTTCTATTTTATGGAAATGAACACCCGCCTTCAGGTACTCCAATTGTGTTATAGGAGTATTTTCATTAATGTCATAAACTTGGATCCTTAGGAGCGTGCATAATCTTTTTGAAGGTTGAACATCCTGTGACTGAGATGATTGTTGGCCAAGATCTTGTAGAATGGCAAATCCGTGTTGCAAATGGGGAGTCTCTTCCAATTAATCAATTGCAAGTACCATTATCAGGTAATTTTTCCACTCATAAATTGATTTGCTAATTGCAGTAAGGAGGCCTCCTTGCTCCCTTGTTTGTCAAGAAAATAGTTTTGTCCCTTAATTAATTGTTACAAGAGGGCATTAAGTCATGGGCACAGAATTCAGTAGATATCTAGTTTTGGTCTAGAGTAGGCTCAATAATCAGTATGATATTTTAGTTTGAAATTGTTCTTCTTCTTACTATGCTTTGTAGTCAAATAATAAAATGCTATATTATGATTCATACTTAAAAGATAAGCTTAAAACAGTATGTTTGGATAAACATTAGCAAAGGAATAGAGAGGAAAGCGAAGAAAAATATTAGTTTCAAAAGAAAATGGAAAGAAACATTTTCCTTTGTTTGGTGACTAAAAATTGATAAAGTAAATTAAAAGAAAGGATTCCTGTTGTATTTTGTTCTTTTTAGCTCTATCAAAAAAAGAAAATGATTAGTTATGAGAAAATAATCAAAACTATTTTTTATTAGTAGAATGACAAGTTAGATACTAAGGATAAAATAAAAAATGCTTCTTTAAAATTTTCAATCCCTTTCTTTTTCCTTCCTTCCCCCAGTTTAGAGGAGATAGAAAAATTGAATTTTAGGGGAAAAGGGGGACGCTCACCGTTCTTCTCTTACCTTTAGTAATTTTGTCTTTATCCAAACAATGGAAATAGAGTGAGTATCAGTTCCTTTCCTTTCTTTTTCTTTCTTCTTATTTCCCTTCAAACATAGAGTAATGTATAAGCTTAATAATTTTATTTTTATAGATTCCAATAACTAAAATTAGTTCTCATACAATATTTAACAAAAATGTTAAATTTTAAAAGTTAACTACCTAAAAAATTCAATTTTTACAATTTCAAACAACTAATATTAACTTTTGGTCACACATTTAAGGTTATTATGCTAGAATTTTGTAAGTTCCAATAACTAAAATTAGTGCTCATACAATTTTAACAGCTACTGTTATATTTAGAGTTTAACTACCTAATAGTTTATTTTTTATAATTTTTACAACAACTAATGTTAATTCCTAATAACTCTTTCAGAAAAATAAAATAATTCTTAACTATAGGTTTAAAGTTAACATACAATTGTAGATTTCAGTTTGAAACTTTCAACATAAACTTAAAAATCATTATAAGTTTCAAACAATAATAAATGATGGTTAGATTTTGAGTTTATGATCATTGTAGATGATGGTCTCTTGCTAGTAGAGCAGATTGACTCTTTATCTTCAACTCTTTCAAAATGTAGTGATGCCTAATAAAGATAGCTTGAAAGCAAAATCTAGAGAAATTTTTATTAAGAATTAAAAGTAGGAGATTTTAGATCTCAATAATCAAGACAATATTAAATATTCGAAGAATAGTAATGAATAGTTTACTAAACAATTAAACTAGGGTGCCTTATTTATAGACACAAACATACAATTAAAATAGAAAATCTAGATTTTAAGAAAATAAGCTAAATAAAAATAATTAAGAGAGTACCTAGGAAAAGAAAATTACTAAACAATTTGTTAGAAAATTTCAAAATATATCACGAAATAT